CGCCGATCGCTCAACCTTGAATCGATCGCGGCCCCGATCGTTCAAAGTTGAATTCAGTCGGGTCCAGTGGCGTTACCGTGTCCGTCGGTGTTTCCCCGTCGCAAGAGTCAACCCTGAACGCCTTCGCCGGCGCCGCCAGCGCGCCAAGGCCGCACAAGGCTACCGTAGGCAGCCTCGAGCTTATCCCCATTCTGGTTTTTGGCAGGCCCCAAGATCGAAGAAGCACCTCGGGGATGCGCCCTCAGAGAAACTGAGAGAAACTGAGGGGTGTGCCCCTGAGGCCTCCCAAATTCGAGGAGGGGATGGACTGCGGAATGGCCTCACCGTGTGATTGATTTGTTAGTCGGGTCTACGCAAAAGAATACATAACGAGGTCGCCGTACTTGTTTTGCAGATCCGACGAAAAAACAAGTTGGGGGTAAATCAAGTGTGCAATCGATTCCCTACCCGATGGATGGGGTCCCAGTTGATAGGGGTCGGAGGATCGCGCTGCGTCGGCGATGCATCGGCGACGTCGGCGACGCATCGGCGCCGTCGGTGTTGAAGATATCGGGCTCCACATCGAGCCGCATGACCAGTGCGTCGGGCGGTACGTCGCGACATTCCGACCCAGCTGCTCCGACCCCACCCGGAACGGCAGCAGCAGGGGCAGGAGCAGCGTGCGCAGTGCACACGGAGTGGGGAAACCAACATCGGCGGCGAGCGAGGAGGGAAGTCAGAAGCAGAAGGCCTTCCCAGAAGGCGGCGGGACTTCTCAGAAACCCTCGCGCCCTCTGACAAAGTTTCTGCGCCTTCGGGGAAGGCTTAGAAAACTTCTGCGAGGGCCGGAACACTTCTGAGCCTTCTCAGCAGGCCTCCGCCTTCTCACTTCTCCCCCCCTTCTCGCCGCCGACAAAAGGCACCGATGCTGCTACTCCCCGGACCTCTCCCAGGGCGCCTTGTCGAGGCGAATCCAGACATGCTGGCGACGAGGGCCTCCCAGGAGGCACCATGAAAGGAAGACGAGGGAAAGGTAGCGGTACAGGGCACGAACTGAACAGTGGTTCCGTCCTCGTGTTGTTCTCGTTATCCCTTGCTCTGCCTTCGTTCCGCCCTCTGCTGCAGAAGAGGATCAAAGCGAAAACGGTCCACGGCATCGCCAAACCACAGTCTGGCCGTCGCTCGGGCGTCCACTGTGTGCATGCTTCGGCTTCGTGCGGTTGCTTTGTTCGCCTCGCCGAGAGAAAAAAAAGCGCACGTCCGAGCGATGCCAAGCAGCGTAGCTTCAGGCCGAGCATGTCCTCCTACAGGCGGGCTTCGGAACGAGAATCCAACATGTCCAAAAATAGTCCAAAGAGCACGACACATCGTCTCCAGACTATGTGTTCCTACTATTCTGGAACACTACTTCTGTAGAGGGGCATGCCCGACTTCAGCGCAGCTCTCGCCCTGTAGCGTCAGGTCGGGCCAGTCTCCCTACAGGGGTATCTTGGGCGAAACATGTTGTTGTTGTTTGGTTCTCTCTCTCTATATATATATAACATATAATATAACATATATAAAAATATACATATATATACACATATATATATGTATAACTCAAAGTAGTAAAAAAGAACTAATCGAGAAAACGCCCCCCAGGCTACTCTTTGACTCTTTTTTTAATCTTCCCCCTGTAGAGGGACGACTTGACTGTGGCGGCGCGGGTGCCTCTGCCCCCCTCCGAGGGCGCGGCTCGCGGAGCACCGCGGGCAGCAGGGGCAGCGCGAGGAGCGGCAGCGGTGGCGAGGAGGCCCGCGAGGGGAGGGGGAGGGGGAGGGAGGAGGGAACAGGGAGGAGGGAGGGAGGGAAGAGGGAGGAGGAGGGAGGGAGGGAGGAGGGAGGAGGAGGGGGGAGGGGGGAGCGGGGAGGAGGGGGGAGGGGGAGGGGGGAGGGGCGGGCGGGAGGGCAGGGCTCGAGCCAAAGAGCGCCTGCCGGCTCCGACTGGCCATGCCTGCCGCGTCCTCTCGGCGGCGAGCCTCCGGGGGGGGGGGAAGCGGGAAGGCCAAGGCCACCTCGGGAGGCCCGGGGGCCCCACAGCCTTATTCTGAGAGAGAAGGCTTCCGAGGCCTCCCCCCGAAGACGCGGAGGGCCTCCTCAGAGGGCGCGGAGGGGGCTCCCGAGAAGCTCGGCCGCCTGCCGAGGAGGCCTTCTCCCCCCCCCTCGCTCGCCGCCGACCCCCCCTCGCTCTAACCAGCCTCGAACTGATCCCTATCCCTAAGATGGGCGAGCAAAAAGCGAGGACAATATGAGGGATAGGCCCTCAGAAACCGAGGGAATCCTTAAGATCGGCATCGAGGTGAGGTGATGTCAAACATAGGGATGGGGATATGCTGATGTGCTTCAAACTGGTAACGCTCTGCCTCCGGTCCGCCCCTCGTGCTGCAGCACCAGGTCCAGACGACGGCCCACGGGATCGCCAGAGCACCGCGCGGCTCTCGAGCCGCGCGAGGGAGAGTCGGGGGGAGCGACAGGGGGGGACAGCACAGGGTAGGGTAGAGAAGCAGCTCACGCAGCTGATCTTCCCAGCGCCTCCCGGCGCCCGTGGAGGCGCCCATGCCTCGAGGAGTGGGCCTGGCGGCGGGGCCGAAACCGGCTGCATGCAGCAGATGCTGTTGACCCCCCTTTCCCTATCCCCGCCCCCTTTTTCGTTCGGCCCGAGAGAGAGAGAGAGAGAGAGAGAGAGAAAGGGCAGGGGGGGGTGCCTCCCGTCATACCTGCCCCTCCCGCCCCCGGGAAACGGATGGCACTGTCGCCCACCCACGGCCGCCGCGCGGCGGAGGGCGCGAGGCGGGCGGCTGGGGCTCCGAGAGGGCGCTGCTCTATATGTGGGATCCGGGAGGGCACGGCGGGCGTCCTGCAGGGGCGGCCTCCAGGCTGCCCAGGCAGGAGCCCGCGGGAGCCTCGAGGCAGGGGCCGGTGCCAACGGGGGTCGGCCAGAGCCGCCGGAGTCAGCAACTGAGTCTGCGGGCTCCTGCAGGGCCAGGGTCGCACTGGCCCGGGTCTGGGTGCAGGATCCTGCCGGATCCTGCAGGGTCCTGCGCATTGTCCCGGGCTTGGGCGCAGGATCTTGCAGGATTCTGCAAGGTCCTGACTGACCGGGGTCTGGATTGACCCGGGTCAGGAGATCCCCGAGGAACCTACTCGAGGAAGCCTCCGGGCCTGCCTATAGGTCTCCCGCCTTCTGAGAAGCCCCCCCCCCCTCGCCTCCGAAGGCCCCCCCCCTCGCCATGACCCCCATTGTGCGCGCCGCCAGGGCTGGGACGATGACATCATCGGCGCACTATTCCGCTCGTCCTTCCCCGCATTCTCGAACCATGGCCTGCAGGGAGGTCGGGGGCGTCCGAGAGGGGGGCCGTCCAAGATGGGGGTTCGCAGGTCATAGCCCGATGCACGCGCGCGGCCCAAGGGGGGGCCAGGAGACGTGCTGAAAGAGGACGAGGGGGCCACGAGATCTGAGAGGGATCATGGCCCCCGCCATGATGTCCCTCCCCCCCTGTTCATCACCCCCTCTTTGGCCGCCCCCGACTCGCCATCGCTCGGACGTCCATTCCCTGTTTTTTTTTGGGGTTTCGTGCGTGGTTACTTCGCCAAATCAGCAAGGATGCTCCTCGATGGTCCTCGCCGAAGGAAAAATGCACACGTCCGAGCGATGCCAAGCCGATGACGGGGCTCTTCATCAGGTGGCCTGTGGACACTTGGCTGGCGCGGCTGGGCTCTCCCGGCCGCTCGGCGCCCCTGGGCACTCCGGGGGCACCTCGTGCGCTGGCCGGCGCCGTCGGGGTGTCGGCCAATGGGCGCCCGTGGGCGCCTCCCAGTCGGGGTGTCGGCCAATGGGCGCCCGTGGGCGCCTCCCACGCGCTTCGTGCTCAAAACGGCACCGGAGGGCTTTTGGCCGATGGTCGCCCGTGGGCGCGCGCGTGAGCCAGCTGGCGTTGCACCGCATAGACTGCACCGCACGTGTTGCAGCATGCACCGGCTCCCCAGGACGGCCAAAGAGGGGTATTTTCTGGGTGCTCGACATTCTTTCTGGCGGTCAAGGCTCAAGTAGGTTGGAACATCAGAGCCCGAAGACGGCAAGAAAGGCCCCGAAGAAGGCCCGAACGGGCCCAGGAACGCCTCAAGAGAGGCCGCAGAGAAGGGGCACGAGCCAGCATGTCGAGCTCACCGCCCCGAGAGGCCCCCGGGAGGCCCCCAAAAGGCTCCCAAGAGGCCCCCGGGAAGCTCCGAGAGGCTCCCAAGAAGCTCCCACGAGGCTCCCAGCAGGCCTCCAAGCTGCCCCAGCGAGGCATCCCCGAGAGCCCTCCGAAGAGACTCCAAGAAGCGTTCGCGAGGCCGCTGACCCGCAGCCCAGGCACAGTGGCGGGATGGGCCGAATGCCAGGCGTGGATGATGTACCGCGTAGGTGGCACCGCACGCAGAAAGCGTCAAGGTACGTTGCACCACCTAGCTTTTACATCGAAGGTTCACGAAGGCATCGTTTGGGGTCTACGCTGTCCGACATGTTGTTTTGATATGAAAACTGCAAGTCTGAAAGGTGTCCTAACATACTAGAAGGCCCTTCGGCCTGCATTGTAGGAAGACGGCGTGAGTCGCAGTCTAATGCGTCACGCGTTGACCGGAAGACAGGCCATGCGGCAAGCTGGTGGTAAGGCATGGAAGAAACAGGCGGTTTCGCAGATCCATCGATTCGGACAGCGAGGAACAGACACACACACACACACACAGACAAACTAAAGCGCGATGGAAACTCCGATTGGACACCATGCAACGGCGCGCAACAAGGGTTGGCGCCAGGTGACGGCCTGCTCAGAAGGGTGGGGCGTCTTGAAGGCAGGGGGGGGCTTCTTAGAAGCTATCCCAGTTTCGCGAAGCCCGCCTAGAAGGCTCCATGCCCTTCCAAGGATGCCCCGGCCTTCTGAGAAGCGACCCCGCCTTCAGGGCAATCCCCCTCGAGCCTCCCTTGCGCGCGCCACCCTAAATCATTCATGCCTGCTGACAGCGAGGGATTGGCTCGTCTTCGACGCCGTGTCGCCCTTATCCTTCGCGTTCCACTGCACCAATATGCACGTGATGTCGTCGCAGTAGTCACCGCAGACGTGGGCCCACCGCTTCCGGCTGGCGCCCTTGAGGAAGTTAACGGTCTCCCTGGGACCCTTGAGGCGCAGCTTCTTGGCCGAGAGCTCCACCGCATCCTCGCGCCGAAGGACTGTTTTGACAACGCCAACTATCAGAATCGGGATGGTTCTTCCTCCACTGAATCTGAATTGACGCTCATGCACTGTCCAGGATGAAACAACTGCGGCAACACGGGGCAGCCAACAACACAGCAATCCAGGGCAGAGAACCGGCTGAAGATGGCAGGGATGCACGGCTAGCAAGGATGAAGCACTGCGTCCTCCCCGCAGGCCTTGGCTGCAAAGCTGTGAGGACCACGAGACCGCAAACTGATCAGGCAGGCACTGGCCGAGACGAACGCGACAAAAAGCCTGGAAGGACCCAACCAAGTGTAGTTGTGAATGCCGCCGTTGTGAGAACTGCCTTCGCCCTTTTCCTCCTCCTGCCTCCTCCCCATGGCCTCTTCTTCTTCTTCCCTCCCTTTCCTCCTTGTTCTCCTCCTCCTCCTCTTTCTTTTCCTTCTCTGTCGCCTTCATCTGCTCCTTCTCTCCTCTCTCTCCTTCTTCTCCTCCTCCTCTTTCTCCTCCTCTTCCTCGTGGAGCTCCCTATGGTCACGAAACGCTCGAAGGGTGCGCCGCAAGATGGCGGGGACGCCGTGCGGGCGCCGCCGCCGGAGCCCACGGGGCCACGCAACGCATGCGGACTGTGCCCGAGTCCAGGGGGGGGGGGCGGCATGCGAGCCATGCCACTGGAGCCTTCGGTGGACCTCCCTACGGGGCCACGAAACGTGGAAGGGGTGTGCCAAAGTGGAGGGGGGGGGGCATGAGAGCCATGCCACAAAGGCCTTCAGTGGAGCTCCTCATAAGGCCACGAAACATGCACAAATCCTGGCGCTTGCACTCGCCTCGCACGGCCCTGGGGGGGGGAGGAGGAAGCCTCCCCCAGGAGCGGAGGGTGCGGACCCGACCCATCTGCCCCGCAGCGCGCGGCCTCTCCGAGGCCAAGCGGGCAGACGCCGGTCGGGCCCGTGGGGGAGCACCACCCCCCCCCCACACCCCCAGGGCGGGTAGGGCGGGCCAACGACAGCTCGTGGTCACTATGGACCAGAAGAGAGGGCCCCATTGGGCACGTGAACGCAGCAGGCCGCTATGGGCCGCAACGAAGCCACTATGGGCCGCAAGGAAGCCACTATGGGCCGAGCGAAGCCCCCAGAGGGCGGAGGGCCGAAACCCGACACACGGCACGGTATTTATATCCCGCCCCAGTGCCAGGCGGAGGAAGCACGGCACGGCACTGCACCACACGACGCGAGCGGGAGGCGGAAGAGGGTCGACCAGCGCGCGGCCGACCAGCCGAGCGAGGGCGCCCCCGCGGCCAGCCGCGGGGTCGTTCACAGCGCGGGCGGATTTGTGCCAAGCAATAACTTCGTTATTCCGACCCCACAAATCCTGGCGCTTGCACTCGCCTCGCACGGCCCTGGGGGGGGGGAGGAGGAAGCCTCCCCCAGGAGCGGAGGGTGCGGACCCGACCCATCTGCCCCGCAGCGCGCGGCCTCTCCGAGGCCAAGCGGGCAGACGCCGGTCGGGCCCGTGGGGGAGCACCACCCACTGCAACGGCGCTCCCGCGGGCCACGCCCGGCGCTGCCACCCACTGCCCCCGCGTGCCGGGGGTGCGCCCACGTGTGTGCCGTGCAGACACGACCACCAGACTGCGCGGGGTGCTCAGCCATCGCCATCGTCGCTGGACGACTCTGCCAAATGGGCTTCCGCGACCGACTGCCGCTCGAGCCGGGAAACGTTAAGGTATTTCATCCACGCGGGCTGATGCCAGCCGCCCGCGCGAAGAAGGTCGGTGACCGGTCCGCCCCTGGCAGCGATGTCCTGCGCGTGCCCGCGCCTGAACGCGTGAGTGCCGAATGATTCCGCGTCGTGGCGCCCCATTTCGCCCAGCGCGCGGCGCAGCCGAGCACGTGCCGCGCCTGGGGACCACGCAGCCCAGATGGGCTGATGAGCTGGCTCGCCAACTAGCCAGGCCCCAAGAACGTGTACGGGACAGGTGACCGCGCACTCGTCGCACCAGCACTGCCGTGCCATCACCGAGCGGCTCTCGCGGTTCTTTCTCCTGGAGAGGTGCAGCTCGATCTTTTGATCGCCGACGACGAACGCGGAGGCCACGCAAGCCGCGGCCGCGCCATCTTCAACCCGCACCGCGGGCAGGGCCTCCGAGGGTAGCCGAAGGAGGAATGCGTAGGCCGCCAGGCACAACATGGCGAAACGGCGACCCTCGTCACTGACGCGCAGGTGCGACACCAGACGGGCGACGTCGCGGCCCTGAAGGGCCATGCGCGCCTTCGCCTGCCAGCCCGAACGCTTCTCGATGGCGTTCTTAGCGGCGCGAACCGCCGGGTGCCTGAAGACTTCCACGGGCCTTGCGCGCCAACTGCCGCCGCGGGCGGACGCGCGCGTTGCCGGAAGATGAGAGGCGGGCGCGCGCCGGCATGCCACGAGGCACGCCTTCTTCACGTAAGTCACATAATTGCTGAAGGTCCCGGCGCACCTGAAGGTCGTGGACCACAGAAGCAGCCCCTCCAGGGTGGGCGGCAGTTCCTTCCCCCGTCGCTTTAAGACGCCCCTTGCGAATGTAACCCAGCACTCGAACCCGCTGCTGAGCGCGGGCAATGAGCGCGGGCATGCGCCCAGGAGAGCGCTCACCCGGGCCCTGCGCGCCCACGCTTTACCGGCCGCCGAGGAGGTGATGAGGGCTCTGGCCCGAGCAGCTTCGGCCCGCGGCCCGCGCATGTCACGCCGACCCTCGCGCCCAGCGACTGAGAGCGCCCACCGGACCGCGGACACGGGGTCCTCCGGGGGAGCTGCATGCGCCCTGCCGCTGTCCTGGCGCCCGCGTTTAGCGCTGCGAGCGACATGCCGCAATTTCGCGCGCGCACCGTGGAGGATGACGAGACGGATTCGCTCGAGGGCGACCGCGTCGCGATGTCGGTCCTGCGACGGCCGACAAGGGGGGGGCCCGCGACGAACGCGGAACGCGCAAGCAGACCTGGGGGCAATCCCGGGCGACGGGGCGGGCGCAGGAGAAGCGCCCGCGCTGCCCCTGCCCAGCGCGGCTGGCGCGCCGCCGCGCTGGGCTGCCGCGATAGCCGCGCGGACCACCTCGCGGGCGTCGCAAGATAATGCCGCGGCGCCCCTGAAGTCTGCCAGGGTGACGCCAACCAAATCGCTCACGGCGTCGGCGCCGTTATCGGCAAGCAGCTCGGCAGCGGCGAACACAGGAAGAGGGCGTGCCTCAGGGCAAACCGCGCGAAGCTGAGCGAGCAATCCAGCCAGCGCCATCGCGCGAACACCGATGACATTCTCCAGGTGCGCCGACAAACCAGAGATGCCCTCGCGCGCCCACAGGCGAAGCGCGACCGCGACGTGCGCGAGGGAGGACGCCAACCCCTGCCCGACCTGGCGGGCGCACCCTGACCGATGAGTGAAGGCCAGATCCATTGCACGCACGCCCAGCGCCCGAGCCGGTCATGGCCGGCGATGAGGAAGCCACGCGCTCGGATCGAACCAGGCATCGTCCAGCACCGGAGGAATCCACTCCGCCCCCAAGCGATACAGCAGGGAATATGACTCGCGCGACGGCAGGTCGGCGATGTTGTCCACCGACGCCACACGCTGAACGTGCAGATTGCAATTCGCATCCAGCGCCATGCGCCAGATTGAGTGGACCAGGCAATTGTGGTCAAACTGCTTCGCCGCACCGGACCGGACGGCCCACTCGCTGCCTGAATTATCCGAAAAGATGTTCACGCATCGGCCCGACAGGAGCGGCTCAAAGGTGGCCAGGCCCAGCGCGATGCTGAGCACCTCCAGACCGCCGATTTGATTTTCGCGCCTTTCCCTGAAGAGCCGAAGCAGAGGCTCAGGCGGGGCGACATCGGTGAAGACAATGCGCCCGTCAATGAAAAGAACCGCGGCCACTCTAGCTGGATTCCCCCGCGCGTCGGAGAGCAATTGGACAGACCTGGTGTCTGGCGCCTGCCACTCCCGCGTCGTGGTGAAATTTCTGGCGAGCGCTTCGTGCCACCATTGCAGGCAGACTCGCAGGTGCGCCGGGATACTAGGATGGCGCGCCCTTGCGTGCTCAAACAACGGCGGGAGCAGCGCGCGCCCGAACCGCCCGAAGGTGTGGGAGGCAGCCCAACAGAAGCGGCCTGCCAACTTGGACGCGCGCCCGCGCTCGAGCGCGCCCTCTTGAAGAGCAGCAGCGATCTCGGCGCGCCACCGGGCGCGCTTCTCCGGCAGCGGCCAGCACACGAGGCCACGCTCGTCAATCGCCACAGACAAGCCCAGGACCCCGAGCGGATTGCCGAACAGCAGCTTACCGTCGGCCACAGCGCTCGGGCCCAGAATGATTCTTACCAGTTCGGCGAACTGTCGCATTGCGTCGCGCAGCCCTTTCTTACGTTCGGGGCAGAAGAAGTCGTCCACATATCTGAGGACGGGGACGAAAATGAGCCTGCGGCCCAGCGCTGACAGCATCGCGCCGATGCGCTCCCAGCTGTGAACGGAGGAAGTCGCTCCGAATGGGGCGGCGAAGTGCTGAGCCACGTAGACGCATGTGCCCACGAGGAACGCGACCCATGCGAGGGCGCGATGTTCCGGCAACAGCGGCACGCGCCGGAACGCGGCGTCTATGTCCGCCTTCCAGAGCCCGGGCGCTTCGCCCACGCGCGTCACAAATGCCTTGCAAGTGCCAAACAGAGCGTCGATGGCTTCATGGCCGAGACGCTCCGTCGGCTGCGACGCCGCGTTGATACGAGAGCGCGACATATCATCTACGAGCCGCAGCTTCTCGGACCCGTCCTCTCTCGACTGCCGGACGCCGAACCGCGGCGACAAAACCGCACCGTCGAGCTCGACCGCGCTGAGCGGCGCGGGATGGCTCATTCGGCCGAGCTCCGCTTCGGCGATAGTTTTGGTGAGAATCACGGCGGAGTCGCTAGACTCCTTGAGCGTGCCGAGCAGCGCGGCGTTGCCTCGCTCCGCGCCCGCGGCCAAGTCCGGCAGGCTGAGCGGTACAGGGAAAGATTCCGGACGCCCGTTCCCCGTGCACGGGAGAGGGCCCACGAGAGGCGCGCCGCGCCGAAAGACTTCCACGCAGGCCGCGTCCTCGTAACCGATTTCGTCGAGCAGTTCGACGAGAAGAGGGCCGTTGATCGACCCTGCGATTGTGCGCACATGGGCATCGCAGCCCGCGAACCAGGCCGCCGTCGCTCCAGAGGCGCGTAGCTCGGCGTCCCTGGCCCGAATTCGCTCGAGAGTCGCTCGCCGCTCACGGCACACCTGCCGCTCCGAGCGCGCAGCAATCCAATCGATCGCCGCCAAAACATCGCCGGGCACCACCACGGCCTTTTCAAAGGCCTCTTTGTCCTCGAAGGAGTGAGAACGGGAGAGGACCTCTTCAAGAAAGGCGAGCTTAGGCGCTTCCTCAGCAGACGCAGGCGACGGCAGGTGACAGCAGCCGGCAGTGGCCAGCGCGCAACCGCGTGCATTGCAACTCGAGGCAGCATTCTGCCGGGCGCGCGAGCCCGCGAGCGTCGCGCGCCACAACGCGCAGCGCCTGATAATCCCATGTGGCAGCGATACTGGGCCCCATCGCATCCTGCGCTTTGCGAGCGCGAGCGCTCGAGCCTGCCGGGGGCGTTCGCGCGCCTCCTGGCCCAGCGGGCGGGCGGCCCTCGCGTCGCGAACGGACCGCGAGTGTTGACTGGCACCCAAGCCCTGGACGACGCGGCAACAACGCGGCGCCCTCCTGCCAGCGCGCGCGCGCGCGCCTGCGGGTCCCACGGGACGGTGGCTGAGGTTGGCGCCCATTCGTTGTTATTCAAATGCCAACGTGGCGCGCGATGCACGTCCTCATCGGCGCGCGTCCCGCACATCGCCGCGCGCCGCGGGCTGCGCGTGCCTCCGGCGGGCGTCAGGCGCGCGGCTTCTTCTGAGGAGAATACACCGTTCGCGAATCCCAGGAGCGCTTGTTGTAATCCCCGCGATAGGATCGGGACTGCCACCCGTCGGCTCTGGAATCGCGGTCGTTCTTCCAGGAAGTGACGGCGGCGCCCCCCGCGGCTCCCACGGCGCCCGCGGCGCTCGCGGCGCTCGCACTCTGCCCGCGCGCTGCCGCGGCGCTTTTCCCTGCACCCTTGCCGGCCGGCGCGGCAACCTGCGCGACAGCGGTCGTAGACCAAGGCGGTCGTAGACCAAGGCAACCTGGGCCTTCCGTCCCTGCAGGGGGGCATCCAGTGCAACCTGGGCAAGCGCGCCCACTTCGGCGACCAGCGGACGGGCGCCAATGTCGACTCGCCTGGAGAACAACGTGTTTGTGAGCCATGGCGCTCGTGTACGAAATCTGATCAGTGACCGCGGCCGCCACGCTCCACGCGTCGTAAGCTTGGTGCCATGGCGTCCACGCCAGAAGCGGCTGGCTCTCCGCCGCGGTTCCCCGTCCGAACGCTCTGGCCAACGCGGCCGCCTCTTTCGACTCGGGCTCGTCATCGTCGGGAGAGCCGCCCGCGCCGCGCGCGCAAAGCGGCTGGAACTTCGCGAGCTCAGTATAAATGAACGGGCGCGCGATTCCCCTGGATTTCGCGCGCTGCACCTCGGTGGCCAGCGCATCGGTCTTCGCTGACCTGAGCGAACGATGGAAACGCGCCAGCGCGCCGGGGCGAAGCCGCGCGGCAGCCTCGGCCACAGGGACTCCGGAAGGTCCCTCAAGCTGATCTGGGCCAGGCCAGCGCCGATGTCGACATGCTCTCCCTTCGGCGGGAGCCCAGGATTCTGCAGCAACCGAACCGAAACGACCCGCCGAAGCCGGCGCGGGCCCCGCGGCACCCGGCGCACTCGCCTTGGCTGCCGCCACCGTCGCGCGATCCAGAGCGCGCCGCAGGACGCCCTTCGTCAGCGCCGTCGCGCCATCGGCATCCTTCAAATCGCCGAATTGAAGATTGGCCAATTCTTCTGGCATCGTCAGCCCATTGGCTGCCAGGCAATCAATGGCGCCCTTGAACTGGATATCAGTCCACTTCGCGCCCACAACAGGGTCAGACTGCAAGAAGGCAAGCATCGCCATCGCAATCACAGCGCCACGGGGCACGAGCGAGAACCACGCCAGCTGAAGCCCGCTCGCTTGCATGCCAGCGCGCCATGGTGACGAATGAGAGCGTCCCAACGACAGCTCGTGGTCACTATGGACCAGAAGAGAGGGCCCCATTGGGCACGTGAACGCAGCAGGCCGCTATGGGCCGCAACGAAGCCACTATGGGCCGCAAGGAAGCCACTATGGGCCGAGCGAAGCCCCCAGAGGGCGGAGGGCCGAAACCCGACACACGGCACGGTATTTATATCCCGCCCCAGTGCCAGGCGGAGGAAGCACGGCACGGCACTGCACCACACGACGCGAGCGGGAGGCGGAAGAGGGTCGACCAGCGCGCGGCCGACCAGCCGAGCGAGGGCGCCCCCGCGGCCAGCCGCGGGGTCGTTCACAGCGCGGGCGGATTTGTGCCAAGCAATAACTTCGTTATTCCGACCCTTAAAGGGTGTGCCAAAGTGGAGGGGGGGTGGCATGCGAACCATGCCACTGGAGCCTTCGGTGGACCTCCCCACGGGGCCACGGAGCGTGTGAGGGGTGTGCCAAAGTGGAGAGGGGGGGGCATGAGAGCCATGCCACAAAGGCCTTCGGTGGAGCTCCTCATAAGGCAACGAAACATGTTAAAGGTTGTGCCAAAGTGGAGGGGGGGCGGCATGCGAACCATGCCACTGGAGCCTTCGGTGGCCCTCCCTACGGGGCCACGGAACGTGTGAGGGGTGTTCCTCTGTGGAGGAGGGGCGTCATGCGAACCATGCCACTGGGGCCTTCGGTGGAGCTCCCTACGGGGCCACGAAACATGTGAGGGGTGTGCCAGAGAGAGGGTAGAGAGGGTGGTGACGGGAGGAGGGAGGAGAGGGAGGAGGAGGAGGAGGAGGAGGAGGAGAAAGAGGAGGAGGAGGAGGAGGAGGAGGAGGAGGAGGAGGAGGAGGAGGAGGAGGAGGGAGGAGGAGGAGAAGAAGAGGAGGAGGAGGAGGAGGAGGAGGAGGAGGAGGAGGGGAGGGGAGGGGAGGGGAGAGGAGAGGAGAGGAGAGGAGAGGAGGAGAGGAGAGGAGAGAGGAGAGAGGAGGAGAGAGGAGAGAGGAGAGAAGAAGAGGAGAGAGGAGGAGAAGAGGAGAGAGGAGAGAGGAGAGAGGAGAGAGGAGAGAGGAGGAGAGGAGAGAGGAGAGAGGAGAGGAGAGGAGAGGAGAGGAAAGGAGAGGAGAGAAGACAGGAACGGGGGGACGCAGGGACCGGTTGGGGACAAATGAATAGATCCGAATATCTGTGTAGCCTGCCGCTTCGACCTGCTCGAGGCACGCTTCACACTGTCTTCCCCTGCTCCCCTGAGTGTCGGCGAGGCCAGCGCGGTCCTCGTAATTGATGAACTCCCAGATCCCGTCCGAGGCCAAGATCATGTAGACCTCATCGGTCGGCTGGACGAACAGCTGCTTATACTCGGGCTCCCTGAGCACGCCGTTGCACGCCAAGTCCCCGAAGGCTCGGGACATGGTGAGACCAGGGAAGTCGGATCCCGGCAAATAGATGCGCCAATTGTCCTGATGGATCTCCTCTTCGTCCTCCCACTCCCCATCCTCCTCTTGTTTGCCCTCGTCCATCTGTCTACTCCTTCCCCTACCGCCCCTGAAAACCCTCATCCCCCGTCCTCCCGCTCCACAATGTTTGAACACTTACTCAATCTGAAGATTACTCTCCCGTCGGCCCTGACTCTGTCTGGCAGGTGATCGGCCCTCTACGTGCAGTGTGTTTACACGCACAACTAAAAAACCTGATATTTCCCCTGCGTTTGTTGCCCAGTCGGAATGCAGGCGGTGTTTCAACACGCTGCTCCCATTCTAGCGTGGACCTCATTGTAAGATCGGCACTTTACTCCCGCCGATCAGAGTGGCGATCTCGCCCCAGCACGGATCACTCTTACGGCTCCGAATCCTGTCGTCCCCTCCTTCCCCTCCTCCGCCTTCCCCTGGTCATCCTGCTCCTCCCGCTCCTTCCACTCCATCTCATGACGCTATTCATCCTCGTCTACCGCCTGTCTCATCCTCCTCTTCCTCGTGCTCGTCTCCTCCTGCTCATGCTGCACTGGCTCTCCCATCGTACGCAGATCCCCTTTTCCGATTGCGGCCCTTCTTGGAGTTAGAGGTCGTCTTGATTGCCTGCGCCGTCGGCAGCTCTGGATCTATCTCGTATGTGTTCTCCTCCTCCTCCTCCTCCTCCTCCTCCTCCTCCTCCTCCTCCTCCTCCTCCTCCTCGTCACCCTCCCCCTCCCCCTCCCCCTCCTCCTCCTCCTCCTCCTCCACCTCATCCTCCTCCTCCTCCTCCTCCTCCTCCTCCTCCTCCTCCTACTCCTCCTCCTCCTCCCCCCCTCCCTCCTTGTCCTCCCCACTCCTCCTCCCCGCCATCTGGCGAGCCGGGCCTGTCCTTCTCCAGCTCGCGCACCTCGCTTCCAGCGGCCTCGAGCCTGGCCTTCTCCTCGGGCAGGTTCGGCTTGTGGTCCCGCGAGCCGTAGATCAGGCGCGAGTCGTGCCTGCGGGGAATGCTAGACCATTAAAGACTTGAACACAGACCTCGGACGTGCTGGAAAAATCAGTCGGAGGCCCTTCGCCGTTTTCGGCCTCGCTGGTGCCATCGCCAGGCCCAGGACCTTCAATACACGACGCAAGATGAAAGACTGGCTCTGAGGAAGGAGTCGGGACTTCCGGGGACTCCATATTGCACAAATCAAGATTTGGGCGTCGCAAAAAAAACGTGACGGACATTAATTATACGTGCCGTCTTCTGGATGCTGCTTCCCTGCCCCAGAACCGTTGAAAGCGACCCAGGGGACGGGGTCGAGAACCCCAGGGGGCCGAAGAAAACGTAGTCGGCAAGATCCGCTCGGACTTACTGGATCGGCGCTGGAGGATTCCCCTGGCGGCACCACTGGCGCCGATCCTGGCGCGATCCGCGTGCCAGGGAGGGGGTCCAGCGCGGATCCAAGAAATCTGCGCGGACCTCTGGAAGTGTATGCGTATGCAGTGCCTTGGTCTTTTCGCGGAAACCCGACCAGATCTGTTATGGAAAGTTCCCGTCCTGACCACTGCGCCGCTGGCTTCTGGCACCGTGAGGACCGCTCAGCCTTGGATCGATCCCGGCGTTGGATTTCGCAGGTCGTTCAGCGTCGGCCAATTCCAAGCCACTGGCGGCGCTCGACCTTGAACACTCGCGCGGGAGGCGCCGCCGCAGTCCTGTCGTAGTCTAAGGTCGGACGTGTCCCCTTACAGAAGGGGTTGTGAACGAAAAATTAAAAATTCCCCCGAAATATTCCCAAATGGTCGAAAATACCACACAAAATCGTCCCCACAATCGGGTCTCAGAAGAGGCCAGTCAACAAAAAATACGGCGGACCAAGGAGAGCGGGTTCGGGTCCTCCCAGAGAAGAAGAAAACACAGCAAAAGCAGGTCGACTCGTGAGGTAGGAAGGCGCTCGAAGTAGATTGGGGTCTGGGCATCCGAAAATACCTACTTTCAACGACCGACGGGTATGGGTGTATAGTCGGTGCCCTCCAAGTGAATGTGGATACACTTCCCCCCCGCGTGAGCGCAGCAGAGGCATTTCGGCCTGTTGTACGAAGCCACCATAAGCCGCGGCCGCGCCAGCGGCGGTGGCATGCGTGCGGTGCCCTATAGCGAAGCAACAGCTAAACAAACAGGCCATACGCCCCCGATCAGTCCCTAGGAAGTTCCCAAACAGGCATCCTCCATTATCGCCCCTTCGATGTCCTGATCCCCCTGTTCTTCATACATTTCCTCGTGCTCCTCCTACCATCAGCATCAACAGCATCACCATCATCGCAAGCCTCCTCCTCCATCTCGTCATCAGAATCATCAGCAGATTCATGAGCATCGTCATCACCATCAACACAATCATCATCCTCATCGTCCACATCATCAGATGCATCATCATGAGCATCATCAGAATCGTCATCATCATCATCATCATCACCATCAGCAGCAACCATGGTCACCATCATCACAATATCATCACCATAAGAACAACCCGAACCATCATGAACACCCTCTTCATCTATCAGCATCATCAGCAGCATCGTCGTGATCACCATCAGCATCATCATCATCGTCGAGGTCGAGATCATCATCTTCATCAGCATAAATCAGCATCACCAACATCATCCTCATCACCACAATCATGAACCGAACAAGCATCAGCATCATCAACACCAGCAGCAACTGTGGTCGTCATCATGAACACTGTCATCACCATCATCACGCTCATACGCATCGTCAGACTCATCATCATCAGCATCAGCATCATCATCCTCATCAGCAGCATCATTATCATCATCATAAGCATCATCATCGTTGTCATCAACATCAAAGTTGTCGTCGTCATAGTAATCATCGTCAGCATCGTCACCATCAACATCATCGTCATCATCATGACCACCATAATCATGATCATTATCATCATCGGCATTAATTCAGAATCACCAACATATCAGTGCCATCATGCTCCCCGACAACACATCCGTGGTCATCATCATCATCCGCGTCATCGTCATCATCGTCATGATCATCAACATCATCATCATCATCATCATCCTCATCGGCATCAGTCGTCATCATCCTCATCGTCATCATCATCATCATCATCATCATCACCGACAGCAGCATCATCATCAACATCATCATCATCATCACCACCATCATCATCACCATTAGGAGCATCATCATAATCATCGTCATAGCCGCTATCATTACCACCAACATCATCAACACCACCGTCAGCAGCACCAGCGTCGCCATCATCAGCATTAGCAGCAGCATCATCATTCATCCTCATCATCACCACCAGTCATCAACACCATCACCATCACGACCGCCACCACACAACAACCATCATCGGCACCACCATCATCACATCAGCTTCACAAGCATCATTATCATCAGCAGTTGCATCAG